TAGCCCAGGATGTCCATTTTCTAGATGTAAGTCAAGTTGCAGTGCCATTGGCGGAGTCGATGCCGCCGGACCACCCGGGTACCACTTCCGAGCTATTAACTTCGCCGGAGACCATTCCGATATTAAGTTTTTCACGCCTTGATTTGACAAGCGCGTTGTTTACTTCGATCACAGGATACGGGTGGTTGGGATTTCGCAGTCGTGTCGGCGCATTCGCACAAGAGTCCCGCCCTTATCAGCATAGAAAAAAAGGTTCCACGGTACCGGCATCGTGCCCGGTTTCCCCACGGAAATAGAACGTTGGTGACATTTGGAAGCCAAGCAAGGGGGTTGCCGACTACCGACGCGCGGCGCTTGTCTTGGTTGAATGATGATGTCCTGGAGACGAGTCGTGGGAGATATGAGCATTCTTGTCTCAGATTCCAATCGAGGCATCCAGAATTCGGATCTAGCATCATATCGTAGAGTTTCACGATCCCTTGAGAACACGCTCATTGAATGGCAGGACGCGGTCAATCTGACTCCCTCATGTCGTTCCTGAGCTAGGACTGACTCTTGGATGATCGAGATCCGACCCTGGAAAAGAAGCAAGTGAATGGCGCTCATACACACGTGATGCCTGCAACGGCTTTCTTGGCGAACAGGACGACGTGAGATGTGTCCATAAGGTGAGCCCTTGGAGGGGAGATTATCTGATTGATAACGGCTCCCCTGGCAAGAAAACGGTCCAACAAAAAGCTCAGGATCCAGGGTGGCACTGACAGAGTATCAAAATGACAGAATCTTTGGTTACCTGTGGGTTAACGAGATGACGGCAGAATCCTTCAGAGACGGTGATGGGTCAGGCTGTGGTTGATTTTATGGAACGAGTGAACTTCAAAATGCAATTGAGCCTTTAGGCGCAATGATCGACACTCGACTTTTGAAGAGCTCGAGAACAGGTGGTAAATGGCATGCCATGAGGTGGTTTAGAGTTCCCCAGACATTGGCCAGGCTTTCAGGCTGCACCTGCGCTGCAACGTCGAGTGGGAGACCGAAAAAGAGGGCCAGTCCTGTATCCATCCATATCCGTAGTTGCAGGAAAGGGACAGCTCCCCGGCGCATATTGCATGGGCTTGGAAGTGACGGTGGTGCGTGCCGGAGTCTTTCACTCTTGCAATGTCCCGAGCCGCCCCGACTCCGGCATCACCTATTCGTGCCGATTTACGTGCTGCAGGCCGTAGGATACGGATTACGCGATGCCTGTCCTTATCGAACCGCAGCGGGGCCAGCCAATAGTTTCCGGGGATGGTGATGATCGGTTTGCAGCACTTGGAACCCCGCAAGCCATCGTGTGCCTCTCGCCGGCTGCATGCACGCACAGGGCAAGGCCAAGATACCTCTTGCAATGCTGCGGGCTTTTTCAACGGCTGCAGCAGTCGGATAGCAACTTCCTGCCGCCGGTGCGGCCACGCGCCAGGGTTTGGTCAGCCTAAGATGTCATGCAGTATCTGTGGTTTACTGAAGGTGTAGTGTCTTCGAATGGCGGTGAAGGTGAGTCATTGGCCGATGGCAATGGCATTGTTGGCCGAATCCCGCTTTGGGGAGATGGGATGGACCATGAACGGGGGCTCAAACAGATGGATCTGATTCCCGAGCATTGTCTTGCCCCAATGGGAAGGTCGATGATTAGCAGCAATGGTGGTGCGGATGGGACGTTTGAGGGTCCAGTCCAGTAAAGTCCAGCCGAGGACTTCGTTTATGATTCGGTTCTGAGGAGAGCTGAGCGACCTCCAGAACAAGCAAAATGAGGGGTTCTGCGTTGATCAACCGCGTGATGGAGGGACGGGCGAATCAATTGACACGATTGGGCCTGTCCTGGAGGTCATGAGGCTTCATGTTTGTCACTCATCAGTGGCATCAGGAGTGCGTCTATGTAAGCCGGCTTCCATCCATGCCACACGCGTATGCAGGAGAGGTACGAATAGAGCACGCAATAGAGCGTATGGCGTGCGATTCAGGTTGACTTTGGTGTTCCAGGAGAGCGAGGGGTGTGGATGGCCCAAGGCAAGAAAGCAATCTCCCTCATGCCGACAGTCGAACGCCTATCGGCCTGCAGCAGAAGTGCTTGAAGCGGGTGGGGGAGGAAGTCGCATCCAGGATCAGCTCTCTTATTCGTTATCGCCGCTTTGCAGGTGCGGCGCCGTACGTGAGGACGGGTGGGATATTCAGAGTCCAGTCTTGCAGTCGATCGTTACGTACGACCTGAGAGAAACGTCGGCGTACGACTCAAGCAGTTGATGTGTCAGAACCAATGCAATTGGTTTAATGTCGACGACGTCGAAGAGTGAGCCGTGCGTTGCACACGATGGGAATGTGGTGGTTGGGAGTCGAAGATTGGCTTCTGACAGCGCACCAAAGGCGGATGGGTGCGGATGTTCCTGAACGTTGGGAAACCTTGAGCCTCGTGGCAGCTCTTGGATCCAGAGGCTAGCGAGCTGGTGCTTGTGGGATGCCTTGAGTGGGCGCCTTTGAGTCCTCTAGGGACGAGGGAGCGTCAGCTCAAAGCATTGTTCGACGGTAAGACATTGTTGATGGTCAAAGCCTAGCAAAGCAGCTCCAGGTGTGCAGGCTAGTCGGGAGTTAGGAGACGGCGCAGGTCCCTCAAGCCAAACACCCAAAGGACGTTTGTTGAAGGACAGATTTGCAGGAAGTCAGATTGACGAGGCAAGGTTTGGCCGTGTAATTACTTCCCAGACATCTGGGAGCAGTGCTTGGCTTGAGACATCATTCTGATCTCATGGGAAAGTGTGTCGCAAGTTGCTGGCAAGCCATCTGTTCTTCACCAAAGGCAAAAGCAAGGAGGGACGCTGCCGATGGAACGGGTGATGCCTATGCCGCTGTTTCCTGCAACAATAAACACTGCGGGCTGCGATTGCTAATGCCCATGAAAACACGGTGAGGTGAGTCGGACGGCGAGAAGCAGGCATTTGCTTGCGAGAGGGCCAGGTTCTCGGGAGCAACGCTTCAAGGATGCATTGATCCGGGTGGAAGGTGGGTTGGCAGAGGTGTGGTTGGCGGGTGAAAGAGAGAGCGAGAGAGTGAGGTGCTGCTGCTGTGGGCTCACGATCCCTGCAGACGCGCTTTCCAGCAACCATCCATGTGCAAGGCAAGAGCAGCTGCGTTGCGCCTTCACTTCCGGCACCTGCCTGCGATTTTGAACCTGGGAGCTACAAACTGCAATTGCACTTGCACTTACAGTTGCGCTTGCTCGTTGCGCCTTTTCGCCCTTGCCATTTCCAGCGTGGTATGGCGTCTAGCCCTGCGAAAAGACAGATACGTACCTCTTGTTTCTCTTGCTTAGGAATTTTTCATCATCTTTTTTTTTTACTCCTTCCCGGTCCTCAGAGATCGAGCTCTCAGTTGCTCATCGGGTACGTACCGAGACCTGTCGCAGTGGGGATGAGGAAACCGAGCTCGCCGACAAGGTGCTCGGTCGTCATGGGCGTTGAGCGTTCTGGGCCGAAAGGAGCTGGAGCTGGTGGGTTTTTCTTGATGTTTAGATTGGGGAGCCTTACATCATTGGGTTGGTGGAATGAGAGAGGCCTTGCGCAAGACGCTTCAGCGACATCTCATTTCTGGGAGAAATGAAGCTGGCCGACAGGTGACTCGATGGTTTTGAGGTAGCTACTTCACATGGCTATTTACCCACATCACTCATCCATTGATCTGTATCCTTCCTCATGGCAAGCAGCAGCAACAGCAAGCAGTCGCGCACGCGTTATCTTCCGGCGGGGAGGTAGGCCAACATAAAACCGTAGCTTCAGTCCTTTTGCGCCCTTACGGGGCACGCTTGGTGGAGAAGAAAGCTGCACGCTGAAGCAGGGCGAAAAGGAGGAGAGCGTTGCTAGCGAGCACATGCTTGCTGCAATTGAAGCTTCCCACTGGACGGCTCGCTGCTATCATGGTGCAGCTGGCGGGGCACGATCCTGGCCGCCTTGGTACACCCTGGACCTCCGGACTGCATCTGACCTTGCCGGACGGAGCCTGCGCCTGTGTCGTGTATTCCGACTGCGTCGTCCAGCACTCCAGACTCCAGAGGCATGGCTTCGGCTCACAGTCTAGCTCACAGTGAGGAACAAGGCCCGAAGCTGGGTTCCGGGGTCGCCATTCTGGGTACTTTGGAGGGAGGGAGGCTCCGCTCTGGCCAAGATCCGTGGAGACTGCGTCCTTCAGGTAGTGTGGATGAGGCGGTGGAAACCTCGCCGTTGTTGTTTCCCAGGTCTGTGAGCTGCTTGCCGCGGATCGTTATGCTGCTGCTCCGGCGACTGTGTGCTTCGTATTTTCTATGTGTCCAGTGTGTGTACGCAGTATGTGTATTATTCGGCCCCCGAGTGCTCCAGCAAGGACCGGGTCCCAGAAAAAAAAAATAGCGACGAAGAAGGAGGACAGACAGGCCAGGGCACCGTCGTCAGTTACCCGTGTCAGTCAGTCAGTGCCGTGGAGTGTTGTTAACCAGACGCCAGACCAGACCAGACGGGACCAGAAGTTAGCTACCTAAACACCTTCCCCCCACCCCCAAAACTCATTCTGGATTCTGCAGCAAAGACGTGCCGTGCCATCCTCTTCCTCCTTCCATCCCTCTCTTTCCTTTTTATCTTTTTTTGTTTTGTTTCTTCCCCCGACATCACCTGCCTCCCAGCAGCGTGCACCCGACGGAAACTCCCTCTGCAACGCCTAGGTTTTGATCCTCTCTCTCTCGGATGAGGTGACGTACATACAAACATACGCCCTACCTCGCCTTCTCCTCTCCCTCTGCAACAAAGTCCGACGTCGGCTCCCGCCACCGCTCCCTCGACTGGACCGCCGCGAACCGATCCGAGACGCCGTTACACTTCCCATCCATTCAGCTTATCTGACCCCAACACCACAAGCTGTCGGAGCTCGACCATTGATCGCTTGCTTTTAGGCGTTTCTCCCCGCCATACGGGAGTGGGGTACTAGCAGCAGCAGCAGCAAACATGAGCAACTTTGCTCAGTGTAGCTGGCCAATATGGCAGATCGATGATCTCACGCCGTGTTTCCAGCAGGAGTAAGTCATGATCCCGCCCTGTCTTGTGTTCCGTCGCATCCTTCTCAGTCGCACCGCGAGCGCATCGCATCAAAGCGCATGCACCACCGCACCAAATCCTTCTACAGCTGTGCCTGCGGTACCCTTGCGCCGACAATTTTTGCGCCTGATAGAATGCATAAACTAACCATTCTTCTCGTTACAGCTATCTGAAGATTCTCTTCCCTCTGATTATAATAGGATTTTCATTCCTCCACCTCGCCGTGCAGACTCTTCGAAGCATTTCCAAGAATCGCAAACATGGATACGAACAGGTTTCTGACGAACATCACCACTCGCATACCGAGCTTCCTTCCGAGGAGACCGCCGACGACGATGAGGACGACGACGAGGCACTCACCATGAACGGTGGTGGCCGCTTGGCTCTGGTCAAGACCACCACCAAAGGATCCATTGTCCAGGCCGACAGCCCCCACGGTCAGAACCTCTCCATCGTCGTGGAGGAGCTTGCGATTGCTGGTCTGATTGCCATTCACATTATTTCGTTGGTTACTGGTTCTGTTGCCGGCGGCCACGGCTTGATCGTCACCATCGTTGGCCTCGTCAACTGGGTTTACGTCGCTATCCTTGTCACACTGCGCCTCTTCTTGGGAAACACAAAGTGGCGCGTGCCTCGCATCTGGAACCACACGGCCTTCATCTACCTCTTCCAGTGGCTGTTTACCGTTGCAATCTTCCGCTCTGTTATTGTCAACCCGCCTCCTCAGCTCGCGCAGATCCTCGTCATTCTCGAGTTTGCGTTGACCACCCTGCTGTTTGGCCTTGCTGTCACTACGAGAAAGGGCAACAAGACGGTGCTGTTGGAGTGGGAAGATGGAATTGAGCCTTCTCGCGAGCCTTTGGCCTCCCTCTTTTCCTTGGCTACCTTCTCCTGGTTCGACCCCCTGATCCTGCGCGGGTACAAGGAGACTCTTGAGATGAAGAGTGTCTGGAACCTCATTCCCAAGGAGAAGGCTGCAGCCGTATTGGCGGACTACAGAACACTCAAGAGGACCGGGGCCCTGTCATGGCACTTGATCAAGTACTTCAAGGCCGAGCTTCTGAGCCAATTCGCCTTGGCAGTCCTGGCTGGTATCTTTACTTTCGCCCCAACGATGTTGCTCAAGGCCATCCTAGAGTATGTGGAGCGTCCCGAAGGAGCTCCGATCAACGTCCTGTGGCTGTACGTGATCCTGCTGCCCGTTCTCGACATTGTGAGATCGTTCGCCGACGGCATGGCTCTGTGGATTGGTCGCAAGATTTGCATTCGCATTCGTGCCATCATGGTTGGTGAAATCTATGCCAAGGCCCTTCGTCGCAAGGCCGCCGCAGGCAAAGATAAAGAACTCGGCATGAAGAAGCCTTCTGGTTCCGAGAAGAAGGGCTTCTTCGCAAAGGTCAAGTCCAAGTTGGGTTTTAAGAAGGCCAGCGACGCCGAGTCCGCCAACGGTGCCGCAAAGGACGCTGAGAAGAAGGACGACGAGCAGGCTAACCTGGGCACCATCATCAACCTGATGTCTGTGGACAGCTTCAAGATCTCTGAAGTCACCGCTTACCTCCACTTCATCTGCGCATCCGCTCCTACTCAGCTGGTCATTGCAATTGTTCTGCTCTGGCAAGTTATGGGTCTCAGCGCCATCCCCGGTCTCGTTGTCATGGCTTTGCTCTTGCCCATCAACTACAGCTTCGCCCGAGGCTTTGCCAACACGTCGAAGAAGATCTTGGGAGCTACCGACAAGAGAATCAATGTGACCAACGAAGTCCTCCAAAACATCCGCATTATCAAGTACTTCGCATGGGAGGCTAAGTTTGGCCGAATCGTGGACGAGAAGCGTGCTGCGGAGTTGAAGGCTCTCCGATCCCGCTACATCATCTGGTCTTTCGCGGTTGCCGTTTGGAACTCCGTGCCTGTTCTCATCACCTTCTTCTCTTTCCTGATGTACACTCTCGTCGAGAAGAAGCCCCTTTACCCCTCCGTGGCCTTTACTGCCATCTCGCTTTTCATGCTTCTGCGTGTTCCTCTCGATCAAATGGGAGACATGTTTGCTCACGTTCAGGAAACCAAGGTCTCTTTGGACCGTGTCGAGGAGTTCCTCACCGAGGAGGAGACGGAGAAATACGAGCAACTTGGCGAGGACAATGTGGACGAGAACGGCAACAAGGTTATCGGCTTCCGCAAGGCAACTTTCATCTGGGGTGGCAAGGACGTTGTCGCGGACGATGGATCCCTCGCTTTCCGTCTCATGGATATGGACGTTGACTTCCGCATCGGAAAGCTCAACATCATTGCTGGACCCACAGGTTCTGGAAAGACATCTATGCTCATGGCTTTGCTGGGAGAAATGACTCTGGTGGATGGCAAGGTGTACTGCCCTGGTGGTCGCAGCCGTGAGGAAGTCCGCGCTGATCCCGAAACCCACTTGGCGGATACGGTTGCTTATGTCGCCCAAGCTGCTTGGCTTGTGAACGCCAACATCAAGGAGAATATTCTTTTCGCTGCACCTTACGATGAGAAGAGATACCGAGACGTCATTGTCGCTTGCGCCCTGGAGCGTGACCTGGAGATTCTCGATAACGGCGATGAGACTCTGGTTGGTGAGAAGGGCATTACTCTTTCTGGTGGCCAGAAGCAGCGTATCTCTCTTGCCCGCGCCATCTACTCCAACTCTCGGCACATTCTTTTGGACGATTGCCTCAGCGCCGTGGATTCCCATACCGCGCAATGGATTTTCAACAATGCTATCAAAGGTCCTCTCATGGCCAACCGAACCTGCATTCTCGTCACGCACAACCTTACATTGTGCGCTCCCTCATCCCACTACATCGTTACTATCGAAAATGGCAGAATTGGTGCCCAAGGTCCATCGGGCGAACTCATCGCCTCCGGTAAGCTCGGAGAGGAGATCCAGAAGGCCGCCATCAACTCCGCCACAGTCTCACGCATTCCATCCCGTGTACCGTCTAGCGTCGGCGAGGATGGTTCCGAAACCGTCGTCAACCCAGGCGACGAGAACACCACCGATGCCCGATCCAAGAAGAACGACAAGAAGAAGAAGGAGACGAAGGATGCTATGGAGGAACACAAGGCGGAGGGCTCCGTCAAGTGGCCTGTCATCCAGTTGTACTTGTCATCCATGGGCCCTTGGTGGTTCTGGATCGTTGCCCTTAGCGTATTTGGTCTCCAGCAGCTTTCAGGTGTTGCAACTAGTTGGTGGGTGCGGGAGTGGGCCAAGCAGTATCTTCAGACGGAAGAGCAGTCCATGACATTCTCGACTTCATCTCACAGTTACAGCTCTCAGTCGTTGTCTCCCACTTACTTCGCCTCCATCGCCAATATTGGGGAGAGAATCAGCTCGTCGTTCTCCACTACCGACAATTCCGACGTCAACGTTACTTATTACCTGACCATTCTTGCCATTATCGGTGTCGCAGGCTCGGCCACAGCCTTCATCAGAGATATCTGGGTCTTCTACGGTTCTTTGACGGCCTCTAAGAAGATTCACAACGATCTTATCTCCCGCGTCTCGAGGGCCAAGTTCAAGTTCTTCGATGTTACTCCCTTGGGCCAGCTCATGAACCGTTTCAGCAAGGACCTTGAGGCAGTCGATCAAGAAGTCGCTCCGATCGCTATCGGCGTCTTCGGATGTGCTCTTGGAATTCTAGTCACTGTCGTCCTGATCACTGTCATCACCCCTGGCTTCCTCATCGCTGGTGTCTTCATCACCGCTGCTTACTGGTTTGTTGGCTCGTTCTATCTCCGAGCTTCTAGAGACTTGAAGCGTCTGGAATCCGTCCAGCGAAGCCCTCTATTCCAGCAATTTGGCGAGACCTTGTCGGGAATGACCACTATTCGTGCCTATGGCGATGAGCGCCGTTTCATCCGCGAGAACCTGACAAAGATCAATGTGCAGGCGCGTCCTTTCATCTACCTCTGGGCTGCTAACCGATGGCTTGCTTTCAGAACTGATGTTCTTGGAGACATGGTGTCTTTCTTTGCTGGAGTCTTCATCATTTTCAGCCTTGGCACCATCGAGCCTGGACTTGCCGGTATTTCTCTCAGCTACGCCATTGGATTCACGGAGAACGTCCTGTGGCTCATTCGCCTTTATGCCATCAATGAACAGAACATGAACTCAGTGGAGCGCATCAAGGAGTACCTGGATGTTGAGCAAGAGGCCGAGCCCATTGTGGAGAAGAACCGCCCCCCTGAGAACTGGCCCAGCCAGGGATCTGTCGAATTCATCAACTACTCTACGCGTTACCGCCAGGATCTTGACCCTGTCCTTAGAAACCTCAGCTTCAAGATCAACCCCAAGGAGAAGGTCGGCATTGTTGGTAGAACGGGAGCTGGCAAGAGTTCGCTAGCCCTGGCCATCTTCAGAGCTTTGGAGGCCGATGAGGGCAAGATCTTGATCGACGACATTGACATCGGACTGATTGGACTTCGCGACTTGAGAGAGTCTATTACCATCGTCCCCCAGGATCCTACGCTCTTTATGGGCACTATCCGCAGCAACCTCGACCCCTTTGACGCGTACACGGATGAGCAAATTTTCGAGGCCCTCCGCAAGGTTCAGCTCATCGGACCTAACGAGTCGACGACTAGACCTACGACACCCTCTGCCTCGTCGATGTTGCCAGCTACGCCCAACCTCGGCCTCATCCAGGGCGAGACAAACTCGAGCCCTGCTTCTTCCATCGCACCTACGAACAAGAACGTCTTCCTCAGCCTATCGTCGACTGTCTCGGAGTCTGGCTCCAACTTGTCTCAAGGCCAGCGTCAACTTCTTTGCCTCGCCCGAGCGCTCTTGAAGCGCCCGAATGTGCTGGTCATGGACGAGGCAACGGCCTCCATTGACTATGCCACCGACACCAAGATTCAGGAAACGATTCGCGAACTGACCAGCACCATCATCACCATTGCTCACCGTCTACAGACAATCGTGGACTACGACAAGGTGCTCGTTCTGGATAAGGGAGCCGTTGTCGAGTACGGCCACCCATACGAGTTGATTCGCAAGGAGAACGGCAGCTTCCGGGGCATGTGCGATATGAGTGGAGAGCTATCTATCCTGATCAAGGCCGCCAAGAAGAAGTGGGATTCCGGAAGGCTAGTCGACATTGACGACGAGGAAATCGGTGACAGCCAGGCGACGGCCGTCGAGGATGAAGCCCAGAAGATTACCGAAGAGGCCAAGGCCAAGGCCGATGAGGAGGCTAAGCAAAAGGCCGAGGAAGAGGCCAAGAAGAAGGCTGAGGCTGAAGCCCAAGCCAGAGAGAGAGCGGAGCAAGATGCCAAGAAGGCACAGGAGGCAGATGAGGAGGCGAAGAGAAAAGCGGAAGAGGACGCCAAGAAGAAGGCGTCTGACGAGGAAGCAAAGACGTCCGAGGAAGAGGACAAGCGAAAAGCTGAGGAAAAGGCAAAGGCCGACGAGGAGGCCAGGAAGGCTGGCGGAGGATAGGAGCCTGACCTGGACGACTTGGCCTTGTGTATTATGTCTTAGCGTTGAGCCAGGGGTTGGTATTCTCAGCTATCGCCAGCGTTGTGTTTTAATAGGTAAAGGATAGTTTAGGTTCGGTAGATACAATATTCTCTTTGTTCATTCATCTGCAATCTCATAATTGCGTCTGGTGACTTGTTATCCTGTTTATGAAGATTCACACCGACGACGCAAATGCTGGGTGTTAGCTGTGTTGTGATCAAGCTAGTCCAGCGTCGCTTTACTCGTTCAGCGTTCCTGGGCTCACACGTCTAGCTGGCCTACCGTGAGTATATAAGAAGAAGCTTTTCCTTCACCAGGCAGAAACCTGCCAATGTGATCGTAATCGAGTTGGTGGTAGACTTTGTTTTCCAGGATCTGGAGGCGGTGTAAGAGCTCCCATTTTCTGGCGGTGGTTGCGGTGCTTTTTCTGCACGAATAACCTCCTGGACGATTGCGTGGCTCTGAGTTTGAAGTATACTCATGAATAATTTCTGAGAGGGGACGACGGAGGTATGGATGTTACGGATGCGAGATGGCTGATGGTACGTGGCGGAGTTGAGGGCTCAGTCTTGGGATGTGGTGACTCAGAGGTGGTTGACGTCGCGTCTTGGAATACCCGGACGCAAGTTCAATTCTGTGGCTGTTGAGTTTTCTGTATGTTTGACGGCCCTGTGCTATTTATGTCCTGAGCTGTGTGGACTCTGGGCTTTGAGAGCAGGGAGGTTGGTGTGTGAGACTAGATGAACGCGAGATGCGTGGTAGCGTGTCCTTGAATAATTGGCTGACGGGCAGAAGTATGTCTTGACTGACTTATAAAGAGAAAAGATATCTAATTCTTTTAATCATCAATGTGGTCACTGCAGTAATGGTTTTTAAATGCTTTCAAATACGGTCTATGGTCTTTGGGCGAGTGCTTGCGATGTTCAAGTCTACCTGATCCCTTGAGGTATGGCTCTGCTTTCAACGGCTCTTCTCTTGTTTTATATATCTCAGGAATACACAACTATCGATACCGAGTGTGAACGAGGGGATATAGTGATGGCGGGCGCGGTGTTGGTTCGACCTGGATGAGAAGGCCGCATGGAGTAGATTGCTTATGCAGTGTATCCGGCAGCTGGATCGCATGTACCATTGCGTGACATTTAGAGACATATCCAAAGCAATCTAGAGTCATATACAAGTATGTGTCGTTCAGGGCCGTTCACGGTCCTTTCATGGCGGCTGCCTCGTCGCCTGGCCAAAGGTTACGGTAGTTGTTGAGCTAGAGGTCGAGCTATGTAAGAGGTTTGCGCCGCATGATCTGGGAAAGAAGTTCAGTTCAGCAATAAGTAGAACTTGGTTTCCATTTTCTAAGGGTTCAACAAGTCGAAACCTTCAGCGTCGGTACGTCCAGAGGAACTATACCCGGTTGGCAAGTTTTCCATCGCCTAAGTGTGTCCTAGAGTTCACGCCTGCGATTTCGACGTCTAATACATCACGCACCAAGACGACATCCAAGTCCATTTCTGTTGTTGATCTTCCTCGTGATTTCTTTTGTATTCGTGTGTTTCGTCATCTTATCCAGCCGCGATCTCTGCTCATCACATTACCGCAGCCATTGAGAGAAGCGCAGTCGACGACGCGGTTTCGAAAGGCCCACAAGAGGCAACTCTTCACCTAAGGATCTATCATTTTCTCGAAAAAGAATACGATGAAACAGGACGATTCGGGCAGAGTATTTTCAAAGATGTATCACCTTGCTTTTATACACTCACTAGTCTCGACGGCCGGCGCCAGGGAATGATCATAAGCAGCTCTTCCTAAGCACGACGCGACGCCTCCAGTACGGATGTCGACCAGCAATATCGGCAATGTAGCCGGCAGTATCTGCTCTATACTATATGCACTACATTCTGTGCTGTCTCTATTTATTTTCAAACTTCTATCATTGACCACGCATATAAGGAAGAGGTCTCTCCGCCGAAAACATGGGCTAACGGAACACACAGTGTCCACCGGGGTCGAACTAATCGTGCCATGGAGAGTTGCGAGCGAGGCTTCTCTCCGTCTCACTGCAGATACACTCCTGTCTCTTGAGTTACGATGTTTATCTCATATAACCCATGCATCTTTGGCAATAATCTGGAACAGGTGAGGAGCAATGAGAATAAGACAAGGAATCAGAAACGCTGTGGATATTAGCACTGCCTGTGTCTAACTTCTGAATAGGATACTAAAGCTTCATGCAGCTTCGATTATTTTCACCAATAGAAAACAGTTCCAGAAGAGCACATTTCGTGTTTTTTCCTGAAGGAATTTCGTTGCTGGCGCTCTCACTTAGCTCTTGTATAACTACTCTTTTAGGTGCAGCAACCAAAGAGCAGTCAGAAGAGCCTCAGAAACCGGAACGGAGGTGTAGTCTATCGTTGGGGTGGTGGTGGAATGTTTCTACAAAGACTGTAGTATGCACTATGCGTGTCCGCCACGACGAACGGAATTATGTATTAAACCCCGCATTTTGACGCATTAGATCTGTTACCGGACAGTTGACGTGCCGTCTTGGAAACTATGACATCTTGACCGGTCACGCTGAGCCTCATTGTGTGCTTTTGCTTGGCCCCATAGACATCGTCTTCCTTCATCTTTCTCATGATATTCCCACGTGTTGCTATATCTCGACAAGTCAAACGAAGACCAGATGCCAAACATGCCCCGAGCGTGTAGCTTACGACACATTGGTGATCATTTCATGAATCTTCATCAGGATTGGCCAACGACCGCTTGAGGAAACACCCCATTGGCCTGGAAAAAAAGACCAGCTCTTCACCTCAAACATGGGACCCATTCATACTCGGTGGATGACTAGATTCAAGCAGCAGAGCGAAGGATTTTCAAATGGCATCGTTGTGCATTGTCACATACTTCCACAGCCAATGTCGCTCAGCCAAAGGCACCCGCGCGTCAGTCCAACTAGAGTTCGCGGCCTGAGCTTTGCGGCCGGCGCCGATAAGGGTCAATCAGAATGGCAAAATGACTGCCGCTTGTCCTGTACGGCTATGCTGGTCATGTTATATGCCCTATATACGAGTACGAATGATGGACGGGGAGACAGACAATTCGAGGAGGCAATGAACGAGATAAGATCCAAGCAATGCAGTTTGGTTTGTTCCAGTACCGTGGTCACTGGCTCAACAAAACATTTCATGGGCTGTGCGTTCTATTGTTGTTTTGCCTAATATTCAAAATCTCCCGGTGTATGCTATTATATGCTCTCCTCATCGACGCCTTATTCTCTCAGCGCTCCCGACTGACATCGTTGAGAGCTGGGTCTCAAGTAGAATATTTTGCAATCATATTTGATTATATGGAGCTACTTCGTCATTTCCCTCTCAGCAGGAGAAATGGCCAAATCGTCATCGAAGTGTCTCCATCTTGGCAGAGAAAATGACCTTCGAATCAAACTTAGAAACCTAATGTATTAGCATGCTTCCAACGCTGCAGTACTACGCAGGTTTTCTTCCTTCACCTACGGCCTCCATGGTCAGAGGCGTATTCACGACTAATACTGGATTTTATTATGCTCGGATTCAGCTGCCATTGAGCGCACGACGACACCATTGGCCTCGCATCTGGAGGAGGAAAATGGGATGCATTTCCACTTGCTCGATGGCACATACAGCCAGCAAACACGCCCGGGACTTTGAAAGACTAGATTGCTCCTGAACCATCATCCGTGAACCGATGCACCTATCTTTATACAATGAGGACGAGGAGTTTGTACATTGCGGTAAAGGTTGCTGAACTGAACGGAATAGATGCTGTGAAGGGGCTAGAAAACGCATGCAAATTGCTACATTTTGATCAAAATCCCGTGACGAGATCCTCATGTGCATTTGCAGTGGTGAGCATAGTATACATAGGCGTGTTCGGCTGACTTCAGGTTCTTTCAAACACACAATACTTGCTCATTGACTCAGTTCTTCCGCTACAACGCGTTTGCTCGAAGCCGTAAGAGTGATGCATTCGTAACATGTACCGGTAGCCGCAGATCTGAATGCAGGCAGGGTCGCCAATTTCAGCCTTTTCTCAGGCGTACCTGTAGTATTCTTTTGTGATGGGCGATGTGGGCACATAGCGACGGTGACAGCGGCGGCTTTGAGTTCACATCGTGGTTTAACATCGTGTGATGGCACCACAACTTCTTGCATGGGTCCAAGACTGAGTAAATGGTATCAAGACACAGGCGAGCTGAGCGAGGTGTTTAAAGAACGACCACAGACTCAAGCTAGCTGACGAATAGATATGCGTACGATTATCTGGATTGGGGTCGTCGCGAGGGTTGAGTTAGAGCTAGTACAGTTGCCTCTTCGCAGTTCTGCTGGATGAATACTGGTCTATCAACGTCTTAGCTCGTCTCGCCGTGTCCGCCGAACAAGAGACTTGGCTTCAGATGGCCCTTCCCCCAGTTCCATTCCCAGATCTTGCCGCGGTCATGCCTGCCAAATGATGAAATGTTTCCGCCAACCTGCTCATCTCATACGTAAGCCTTGCCGGCCAGCTGCAGGCAACAGTGCATTTTGTTCTCGCCCTCATGTCCAATCCCAGATATTTCTAGACGAAAAGGCTGGCATCAACAAGATTAGTCTTGAGCACCTTGGTGGATGGTGGGCAAAGTTCTCGACAGTTGAGATCAAAACGGCAGGAGCGGTCATCAGAACACCATGTCATGTCAGTCTTGGCTGGGAATAGACTTTTTTCCAGCATGAAGAAACAATCAAAAGTCAACTAAGCAAACGAAAAGCGCCACACCCACATGGCGCCGCTCATTTAGCCAGCTAAGAAAGGGGGCGCGGCATCGCTGACGAAGCCCATTCAGCCGCAGCGGACTCGCATCACAACATAATTTCGGGCCGGGAGGAACGTTCAGCACTGCAACATGCTCCCTTCCCTCGGCTTGATCCGAAGAAAGGCTGGCTCTTCACCGCGTCTTTGAAAATAGGTTGTCTGGCATGGAAGGGGGGAAAGGGACAGGCAGATATATGTACACGTGCAGGTGCCAGTATGTTGCCAGGTTCATCGCATTGAGTAGGTGGCACGAGCGACGTCTCAACAGTGGGACGAGGTCCTGCAACGAGTGGCTGAGTGGCCAGCGCCCGGTTGGATGTTCCGTGTGGAGATGGCGGGGGCGCCGCCAGTGACAATGCAGAATGACCGCCATCCGACACCTGACTGGCCAGAACTTGGCGTCCACGTCGCCTTGCAGAGGAGGAGAGGAGAAGAGAGGCCCGTGGTGAGTGGCCAGTGGCCAATCTGTGGCGCTCAATCGTCTCTCCGCACCAAATATTTTTTTGATTGTCTCTCTGGCCCTGTCTACTGCGTACTTTCAGGCACCAGGAGGAGCAAAGGGAAGAAAAACAATAAAATCTGTGTGTGTGAGCTGGCCGTGAGGTTGTTAGGGTCCTCCGCAACACCAGGTGGGTGCTGCTGCGCCGCAAACCGAAACTGTTGGCCGTTGATTCGTGTAGGCAGTAAGGGTACCTGGATGCAGCGTAGTAAGGGAACTTGAGTGTGAGGTGTTGTTGTTTTCGTTGGTCACTTCAGGGTCTGGTGGCCAAGACGTGGATGCAGATTCCGGGCCTGGAACCTTGCCCAGACTTCAGAGCGACGGCAAAGCCAAAATAGCGACCCGGAAAGTCCATACCTTGTCTACCTGCCCTTTCGCTGCCTGCGGCATCACCCCATCCATCCCTCTCCTTCATCCCCTCACTCAGCACCGTCTTTCGTTTGATTTTTTCGTCTTCGTGTTGATTCATCGTCGGTTCTCTCTACCGCCGTCGACTTCCATCTTTGCGGGATCGACTCCTCCTCTCCCTCAACCCTCCAAGACAGTGACAGGGAATATTCAGTGTTCTCCACGTCTTTAATCCTCACCTCCACTCACCGATCTCTTCTCCGCACCTTGCAGTCGGCCAGGCACTCTACCCGCAACAACACCAACATTTCCAAAATGTCCATGCCAGGCGCCTTCTCCCCGGAGCTGCCCCCTTCCAAAGCAGCCCCCGAAGACGCCAAGTCCAACAACCCGCCGCCCCTCCGCCTCGACCAGCCCAACGACGCATACTCCCTCCACACAAACGACCCCTACTTCGATAACCCGGCCGCCGCATCTTCAAGCGCCGCCCTGGACCTGCCGCCTTCCTACACCGACGACCCTGCCGCCGAGCCCCCGATTCCCTCCCTCCTGCTCGCAGACGAACACGCCGCCCCGAATCTCTTCCGCAGAGATCCCGCAACCGGCAACGAGATCCACATCTCCAAGCGTCTCGACACAGACCCCGCCTACCTCGAATCCTTCATCACCTCCCTCGCCCAGCTCCCTCCGCGCCCCTACGTCCGCGTCCGCGGCACCCACTCCAGCACCGTCCACAAGTCGGAAAACAAGACCGAGTCCAAGACCGTCGTCGACTTCGACCTTCACCTCGACCTCACCCCCTTCCTCTACCGCGATATTTCCGCCCGCCAGTCCTGGCGCGACCTGCGCACCGCAGACAACTTCTCAAAGGTCCGCCGCGGCACCGTCTTCCCAACCCGCGCCCCGGGCTTCGGCGGCTCCTCCTCCGCCGGCGGCGTCGTCGAGGGCAGCAAGCCCCCGACCCTGCGCGAGTGGTGCCACCGCTACTGCGCCTCCCACGCCGGCCTGAAGACCTTCACCCTCTCCCGCACCGTCACCGGCTTCGACGACGACGAGCGCCTCAAGGGCCGCCTCGAGGATCTCGTCCGCTCCACCCACTACCGCGGCCGCATCGACGTCAGCTTCCCCGTCCGCGACGAGCGCGTCGACGTCTACAACACCTGCCGCGTCAACCGCTGGCGCTTCTCCAGCTGGGTGCGCTGGCTCTTCTACCTTACCTTCCTGTGGGTCTTTGCCTGGCCGTACCTCTTCTTCCGCACCAAGCGCTTCGAGGTCGTCGAGGCGGAGTGGCCCTTCTCTCGGCGCAAGCGGGACCCGCAGACCGGCCGCGTCGTCGGGAGGGAATACATCACCGTGTCCGAGGACCAGTGGTACAACATGTGGGCCAGGGCCATCCACCGTGCCGTGATGGAGCGGCGCCAGGGCGAGCTGGACCAGCGGGACCTCAGGGATGCCGAGGGCCGCCAGGATACCAGCTTCGAGGATGTCCTCGCGGGCATGGACGATGAGAGAACCAGGGGCATCGTGAGAGCTGGCGTGAGCGCGATGAACGTTGTGAACCGTCACTTTGGCTGGGGCGGTGATTGCTAGGCGTTTTTCCTGTGTACTGCTTTTCTTTTGGGTTCCGGGTCTTCTCATCTCAGCTTGGATTGGTTTCGCTTGGCTTGGCTTGTTTCCTTGGTGCGTGCATGGTTGGATGGTTCGGAGGGCGTTTCATTTTGCATTATGACGATTCCCAGACTGCACGTTATCATGATCGTTTCCGATTCTTTCTTCAGAATACCCCGTTCTGCATGGGTAGCGAGGCCATAAAAAACAGTTGTTAGCAGAGTATTCGCACGCACCTCACCTCGTCAACACAAAATTGATACCACTTCTCACTTTTGCAGTACCAGTGCAACGTGTCATTGCAGAGCAGATGTCCAATGTGTGAGATGGTGAAAGAAACGATGCCCGCACCTCCCGTCCCTGAGGTGGTGGTCTTACACACTGGAGCGTTTTCAGGGTCCGTAGCATCCGCTCGGCGCCCCGCACCCACCCGCTTAGCGAAGGGCCCGTCCTCCGGCGTTTAGGTAAGCTGGGACCCCCGTCCCGATACTTTGGGCCCCAAACTGTCACATTCAACCTCTCAACGCTGCATTCCATTCCACGTCAATTCACCAAGCTCATAGAAACATGGCGGAAGTCTCGAATCCGCGCCGAGTGCTGGCCGTCTCGCTGGCCGAGTCGACGCAGCATCTCAGCAGGGTAATCAAAGGTGCGCAACATCGTCCGAAAACGGCTTATCTGATCACCCCGCCATGCGCTCAAGAGAGAGCTGGCATATATGAGCTTCACGATACACACTCTCGGACGCCAGAACTATGTCACACAACGGCTAGCTAATACGCTTCGCAGACCTCACTGGCGCCGTCCCGGAACCTGCCTCAACCTCCCTGGCCGGCACCACGCATCTCCTCGACATCAAGACGAGCTACTACACCGCCCAGGTGCCCATCTGGCTGGACCTCATCACCTCGCCCGCCGAGTGGTCCGCCTCATTCCTGTCCCCCGAGGCGAAGGAGGTCCTCTCCGTTCTGGGCGGGTTGGCCGTCGTCTTCGCCCTGCCGTCGCCGCCTTCTTCCACGACAACAGCAGCACCACCATCATCATCATCACCGCCGCCAACAGTAGCAGCGCCGCCGCCGCCCACCGCGGACGAGACCCGCGCGCTCATCTCGGAAGTCGGCAAGGTCGTGCGCGAAGGGCTCGGCGGGTGGGCATGGGACGGCGTCGGGCTGGGCATCGGCGTCGGCGAGGGCGACGCGGAGGAGTGGGAGGAGCTGTGCGCCGAGTGGGGGCTGGAGTTTGTGCAGGTGCGCGGGGGCAAGAAGGATGACGGGCGGAACGAGTTTGGAGGTTTGTTTTGTTTTCCCCTCCTTCCACCCACTCATTCTTCATCAAGGTCGATACTCTGTCAGGAAGCCAAAGGCTAACCAAGCCCCCCAGAAAAAATGGGCATCCCACGAGTCCTCGAGGCGCTGGAATCAAACGACTGGGCTGCCGACGCCGGGCCGGACGTCGACTCTGACCTTGAGGAGGTCGAGGCGGAGATGGCGGGCCTGCCGCGCAAACCTAGACCACTCGCTGACGGAGACGACGGGGACGAGTTCGACTTCGACCCGGAGAGCCTCGATTTTGGTTTCGACCGGGCTGATTTCGAGGGGCTGAAGAAGGCGATCTGGAACCTGGAGCAGGAGCAGCAGCAAGTCGATGATGAGGACGAGGGCAAGGACGGTGATAAGAAGAAGGATGGTGAGGGCTCAAAGGATGCAACGAAAAGGGAGGCGGCGAAGGCGGCGGCCGATGAGGAGGAGGAGCGGCTTGATGCCGAGGAGATTGAGAAGCTGGAGGGGATGATGCGCAAGTTGCAGGCTGTCAGGGATATGAGCGCGGGGATGCCTGTGGAGCAGGCGAGGAAGATGGCCAAGAAGGCAGTGAGTGAGGTGATGAAGGAGTTGTGATTGTGGTTGGTTGGTGATTTTGAAGGGGGGCGGCAAGTCGTTGTGAGGACGTGGCTTGCTCTGACCATGATAGAAAATAATCATGCATGAAAAGAAAGCAAGATGAAGAAATCGATAAAAGGTGTTGGTCAGGGCATAGCTGTGAAATGAAGTCCTTGATGACAACCTTTGTTGAACGGGTAAGAATTTGACCGCAGCACGTCAATGTATGGAGCCTCCCACAGCGCATTTATTGACGAATCCTTCGGCAAGGTTATTCGTAGTGGTGGACTGTCTCTTTCATCTACAGACAATACTTCCAGTACTGCGTCAACACAGCATGTCTTGCTTGTTCCTGTCCAATTCTGTCCCTGAGATTTGATCCCTTGGGATTTCCACTGGTTTAGGAGTTAATCAAGTTGAGTTAAATGTCTCTGAGAAAGCTAGAGACTCTTCAACACCTCATTCACCAAAGGAGCTCCCTACCTCTATCATATTCTTCCCATCTGAGAATTTTCAGAGGACAAAATAGATACGCCATGGACGAGATGCTTCTTCACCTACCGAGAGAGTATAAAATGGTTCAGAGCCCCCGTACAAAGACCATTTCAGAGGCCAGGAAATTAGACGGCTCTTGGTCATTTTGAAGTGATCCAATAGCGGCGCGAACTGAGACATGTTAGGAGGCGCACGGCAAAAAAGGAGCTTCAAAGACAACCAGGTTATCGGAAAGACAGGACAACCCGCGCGTATTCATATCACTGCCCAAATCGCACGTGGTGAATAACTCTGAGACGTCGGAGCCGCGAGGTGACGACGATCATGCCCGGAGAGAAGTGATCTCACCGTCTTTTACAACATGGCCTAGAAACCTGTCGTCGACGGGCCTCGCTCAACGGCAAAGCCTGATTTAGTACCCCCAATTACATTACATACAAGAGGAGTAAAACCGTGGCTCAGAAGTAATCAGAAGACCCTTGGCTGTTTTTTTTACCAGATATATCAATTACATCCTGCCTTGCGACTCCGCTGGAACTCATACGGGAAGACTGGATATCAACTCTGCCGAGCACATGCGCTTCAAACATGGTCTCAGGCAAGTTCCATCATACACCCACAACCTTTGAAAACCAAGAAGAACCGGACACGACTGCCGCTGATACCGCAGACTACTTCTGTCACAACACACCCAGAAGGCTAGGTCTTTACGGACAACAACCAACTCACTTCACACCGAAGGCACGAAACCACATTACTAGAATACCCGAAGTAGGGTATGATGACGAGACACGCCCGGCTCAATTGCTAACGACATTCTTCTGGAACTTCATGGTGATTTAGACGAACACTGTGCTGCTGGTCTTTTTGACGTATCTAATTTGTGCGCAATATTCGAAGGACGAGAGATCTTTTCAACCGCAGGCCAGTCTGTAAATTTGGCGATTCGTGCCGCTTGAGGTTAAAAGTGCGCATGCTGGTAGTCTCGCGCACACACACTCAGGACAATCATTAGTCGCTCCTCTATATGCTCACGAGTAGGAAGATTCATTGTCGTGACGGCTGGAGGCACCGTTCAACTTACCCCAAGCCATACCGAACTTACCATCTGGACGTTTCACAAGTAAACCTTGTGAGTTCTATTCGTATTGACACTGCCCATGCTTCATATAAAGGAGCTATCCGCGTAGATGCCGACGTGGCATCCGCGCCCCTCAGCCCGCCCACCCCCCTGGAAGACGTCGACAGTGCCGAAGCCAAAAGCCCGAAGGTCTCGCATTGCCTCCTAAAGAGGTCGAGAACGATACCCCTAATACACAACCTTATGCCAGGCCGCAACCAACGTGCCCACAAACTCCAATGGCTCGGTAGGTTCCGAGCATCTCAGACTCCCTTAGGCCAGCCCCATCCACTATAGGGCTTAATGTAAATGCCAATCAGTCATATATTTTGTTGGAGTTCGGACGATCTCATCATGTTGGGGGCAGCGCAACACACCCTCAAAAGACCCGGATTGTAAAGAGGCAAAGTTACGGTTGTCCTTGTTGACCTCAATATGTAGGGTGATCCACTACTTGATATATCTGAGAGTTCGGCGGACCGTGTGTCGGGAAGCCGGGTGCATCATGTAACCTGACGGCCGGGTCAGTCATCGTCACGTCTCTTTGGTTGGGACTTGTCGAAGTGTATATGAAGGAGTGGCGCCGAGTCAGTGCCAGGCGCGTGTTCGGACGATTCGAGTCGGTCAAGCTGGGTTAGCCCGGAAGGAAGAATCCAGACCGAAAGGTCCTCTCCCTTCGGCGAACAGGCTCCGTCCCGGTCAAGCTGTCATCGGTAGACCGGCCAGGGGCCCCGTCTCGGTGAGGCCCGGGAACATCAGACGAACGCTAGCGCCGATCTTTGGCAAACCCTTGTGCGATCTCGTACGGATGGAATGGTGCACGACGTCGCAGACAGAAAGCGAGCAGGGAACGTTCCGGCATAGCCTCTGTTGAGAGGGTCCACCGCCGCAATGCCGATGTGTGGTTCCTGCCTCTCTTTGTCATGCTGGAGGCCCAAGCACGGCAGAGGAGTCGTGAAGTATTCTGCCGCCACGAATCGCAAAAGACAATGCGGCGGAGCGGTATCGACGCATGACTGGTGCGTCTTTCCTCACTGATTTCTCTCTCGCAGCGGGGTGCTGGGCTCGCTCGGAAATTTCTCCGCGATGCCTGCAATGCTTGTCAAAGAAGCGAAGACCCGGAGCAGTTTCAGCAAACTCAATTGGGAATGCTTGGCCCGGTGTCACGGCAGTTTTGGTGGCCCTGCTCGATTTCTTGACGCTGAGGATACCGTGCGCGACTGAAATGCTGCCATGCTGCCACGTCGATTGCCCATAGATTGCGCATGAGGGTTCGCCAGTTTTCTCGGGGTCGAGAACCGAGCGACCCCAGAACGGCACACTGACCATACGCACGATGCCTCAGATCGACCAGGGCGGCGAGTTTCGTTGTCTAATGTCTTCGGAATGACAAGAAGATGCATCTCGTAACGAAGAAATCGGGTACATGGGCCTGTTTACATAGATGTTTCTGCTGCAACCGCCTTTTCGTGCGGAGAGAAAACATAGAAACGCGTCCACACGCGTCTGTTGATGGAAGTGTCGGAGGGCTGCGATGATCATTCATGCCTCCACGAGTGGCCGGGCTTCAGTAACTTGCTCATTGGATCAAGTGTGGTCCGTGGTCATGCAGCCCCGGGGGAGGGGAGCGGACTGCATGACAGTTGGGACGCCATGTTTTCTTGGCCTTGCAATTGATATTCGTGGTTTGTCTACAGAGTACTTCATGCTCCATTGTGTTGTCAGTGTTACTTCGTAGTTGCCTGCGTTGCTGTGTCAAGGGATTCGCTATCGGCCGAGAAGTGGTGCTGATTCACGTCTCTGGATGTCAGCTGTAGTGCCAAACGAGAGGCAAGGCAGACACCCTAAAGTTGAACATAGACTTATGATGACAAGCTCTCAACGGTCGACCCTCACAGTGTCTGACGTGACGGATAGTTGTGCCACAGATGCTGCGACACATGATGCTAGAGACACATCTCGCCTATCCATCGTCTCGTCCACCTCGTGCGGCAATCTTGCGTGTTATCCATGAAGGGTCCAGACAGACGAGCCGACCTTTCAAGGGCTCCTGGCTAGCGAGGTGTCGCCCAGCAGGGCCCTCAGATAGGGGGAGGGGCACACTAGGGCAGGCGGCCAGGGACCTCAGGTTCGCAATGTTCGATGGTTCTTCTGGAACATTTCACCGGACAGGCCACGAGAGGTTTGGTCTGGTGATGCTGGCGACGGAGGCAACGGACCCCGGACACCTTCTTTGAAGAGTCCCGTAGCGGTTTTACGAATTTCAATCACGACGGGCGGCGGGTCGACAGGCCAGGTAGGCGGTGGTGGATGCTGCTAGGAAAGCCGGTCGGTCGGATTCATATGCGATGACTGACCGTCGTCGGAGCTTGTGGCTGAGTCAGTAGCAGAAATGTCTGAATTGTTTGGCCCCGAGGCCAGCGGGCTGCAAAACGACGATCTCCCACCAACAACGCACGGTACTCTGAATGCCTCTTGTCATCATGTTGCTGTTTGCCCTTCTCCTTTATGCGGCGCCGTAGTCCTGTTTGAGCGCTAACCGCCGTATCCCGTCTTTCCCCAGGGTGCTTGGCTGATTCTCTGCGGAGGAAGCCCAGTCGCTGTCTAGTTTGACAGTTGTTAAATGGGGCCGGACGCGGACCGGAACTAGGTACAACTGGAGTCGAGAGCCAGAAGCGGGAAGAGAAAAGATCAGATGAAAGAAGCACGCCGGAGGCTGACCAAGTGGATTTTGAGTGGGAGACAGAGGCGTGGGAAGCGTGGAAGACAGGGGGGAGGCTCAACGAAGTTTGAGCACCACCCCTCCGTATCTGAATGTTCCCTTTGCCTGAGGTTCCTGACTGCGGTAGTGGCCCCCCTCACTAACCCGACGAGGCATTCCATCGGCGATCTTTGGCTATCCCTATTTCAGCCAAGCTCGAACGGGATTGTCCAATGACGGGCTTCGTTTTGTGAAGATCCTTGCAAGCGACGCGAGACTGGCTGGGTTAGCCGCAACGCCCTGCAAAGCTGCAAGGTACCGACGCCAACGTTCAGGGGTAAAAGCGGGTCTTGTTGAAGACAACCTGGAACCCTGACGCTGACTGCCTCGAGACAGTTTTCAACATTCCTCCAACACTGTGTTGGCTGTCGCGCGTTATGCAGATCCGCGAGACTTATTGTGGAAAACGGAGCCGATCCGTCATGCGCGACGGACACAGTGCCCGATGCGTATCTTCTTGCCTCGAGAAGGAGCCTGCTCCGGAACCTTGGTTTTGTCGGTGTGGCGTCGATGGAGGCGTTGCCTGGTTGTGACCAGAAACTCGAAAATTGACTTCTCTGCGAGTCTCGCATGCTGGCAAGCAAGATGTTCGTTGCCCGGTGGAAGAGCGTGAAGTGTTAGGTGAAGGTCATGCAGCTGAGT